ACACACACACACACACATACACACACACACATACACACACACACAGTCACACACACTCACACACACAAACACACACAAACACACACACAACTAACACACCAACACACATAAGCCCGTTCCCCAACCACTGCCCTCCCCAGCACGAACTCCCCGACCTCATCTCTCGCCAGTTCGGGACAGATTTATTCCAATCTCCCTGATCAATACTGCCCCCTTCACAGCCCCTGGACTGGGATACGCTGGAAGGAACGAACGGGTGGAGGAATGCAGGAAGACTAAAATGTACGAAGAAATGCGTATAGAAATACAAGACTGACGTAAGGAAGAACCATGAAAAAAATGGGATCACGAGGAAGCATGCAAGAAGACAAAAATGTACTAAGAAAGAAGTCTACAAATGCAAGAACTGGCGTTAGGGAGAATACTGGAAAAAAAGCAACGAACACGCTGAAGAAAAGTCCAATTCTAACTTATAATTTGTATGTTTTTAAGCTTTCGTTGCTAATATAATTTCGTGTGTTCCTCTGTTGGGCTTTTTTCAAGAGGAAGATGGGGGGGGGGGGTGAGGTAGACGAAGATTGTTATCAGAAAAACAGATTGAGGGGTTTCCTTTAATGGAGCACTGGGCCAAGAAGGAGTTCACAATTAGAGGAGAAGGAAAGAAGAAAAGAGTGGTAAGGAATGGGGGGGGGGAGGCATAAATTTAAGGGGAGTAGAAGGAAGAGGGGAGAGGATGTCTGGATGAAGAAATGAGAAGATGGGAAAATTTTAGCTAGGAGAAATATGAAAAAAAAACGTTGAGTCTATAAAACAGGGGCGCATATTATGAGACTTTTATGGGAATAGTGGGGAGAGGGTCTGGAGAGGGGGGGCGGTAAGATGGGAGAAGGGCAATTGCATGAAAAGGGAAACATGAGAGACACACAATTAATTGGGAGTTGGAGAAAATGTTGATATTGGGGGAAGAATGGGGGGAATGAGAAAACACATTTGGTTTTGGGGTTTTTTCTTTGGGTGGGGGGGGGGCTTGATGTGTTTTAAGGAATCAGAAAAGGAGCATAGAAGAAAGAAGGAATGGAGTGATAGAGGCTAGGCTGAAAGAAGGAATCTAATATAGAGTGGAAGACAAGAGGGCAGTATGGACGAGGAGAGTGGACGGGAGATGGGAGGCGTACACAATTGAGAAAGGGCTAAGAAAGGTTGCAATTAAGGGAAAAGTTATTTCGAGGAAAGAGTGCTTTCCAGCCAGATTACAGGCCGTTGTAGGGAGATGGACACACGGCAAACAAATACAAATAGGGGAGCGGAGGGATAAAGTGACGGAGGGAGAGGGGAGAAGGGGGAGAGATGGGGAAGAGAGAAAGAAAGAGAGAGAGAGAAAGGGAAAGAATGTGGAAGGGAGAGAGAGAAAGGGAAAGAATGTGGAAGGGAGAGAGAGAAAGAGAGAAAAAGAAAGAGGGGAAAAAATGAGAGAGAAAGAGAGGGAGACAGAAAGGGAGAGGGTGGGAAGGACGAAGGGAGGGAGGGAGAGAAAGAGAGAGAAAGAAAGAGAGATAAGGGGAGCACGAAGAAGACTGGGAGAAGGAGTGAGAAAGAGAGGCATAAAGAGAGAGAGAGAGAGAGAGAGAGAGAGAGAGAGAGAGAGTGAGAGAGACAGAGAAAAAACAAAAAGAGGAGGGAGTGAGAGAGAGAGATTGAGGAGTGTGTGGGAGAGACATCGGAGAGGAGAGAGCGAGAGAAAAGAGATGTTCAGATAGACAGAAAATACCTGCCATACTTGCAGAAAAATACATTGAGCATTTAGATTTAACGACAAAATGATTGTCGAACAGTGATAGATGAGGGCTGGCAGGCGGCCATTAAAAAGACAAGATTTAGACAATTAGGCAGACAGTGACAGATTTGAAAAAAAATATTGAGAGCATTTACTGGTAACACTTTTCCCACAATATCATTATAAAAGTACAACCATTAGTTTCCGTTCGGAAGGGAAATTCCTTTAGTGTGTAAGCCTATACTTATCCCAAGGATGTTACTAATGGTTGTAATGGTTATCGTATTGCTAGTTTTATAATTATAGTTCGACTTTTTAACTCATGGAATAAATGCTGAAGACGGTAGAGGAGAGTTGCGATCAGTCTCTGGCCGTCAATGTGTGTTTGTGTGCGTGTGTGTATGTGTGTGGGGGAGAGATAGAGAGAGAGAGAGAGAGAGTGTGTGTGTGTGTGTTTTATGTGTGTGTGTGTGTGTGTGTATGTGTGTGTGTG